TAATTATATTCAATAAGAAGTCATACTCAAAATTCTTATGTTTTTCAAATAGCTGTCTGTGATAACGGTACATTACATTTTGTTGCAAAATGAATTAGCATATATGTGTTTTTCATAATATATATATTTGTACGTTTTAATACGTTAAATTAAAATATATCACGTATTTACTATATTCACCTTCTTCGTTGTATCATGTACACGGTAATTGATATTTATTCGAGTGTGAAGAAGAGACGGCGCTGATAACAGTTTTCCGTTGCTTTATCCGTGTTTTTTTTATATGCTTGTTAGAAATGAAATTATATGATTAGTTATGTCGTTCACTATTCTCAGTATTTTAATTTTACAAGTATATAAATGTAAATCAAAATTTATGATATCCCTCGACGGTATTTATCCTTCGTTTAATGCATAAGTATCTATTGGATCACTAACTTTTATAATGGTACGTCTACAAATCAGTAATCAGTAAAATACTTCAAGATCTTTAATATACTAAAATATATTATGAAGAATCTGGTACAAAGACCATTATTACGTATTTTTGCATGTAATATTATAACTCATGTTTTATTTCATATCGACACGAATTTAAGGTAAATAAGACGCAAAAAAAATATTGCCAACTGTGTATGAACACCGTTTATCGTTGCCGTTTGTCTTTATCTTACTGTTTGTTGTAATATACTAGCGCATTTTATACAACGAAAAATGCGGTGTATAAAATAATACTTAACACATTATCAATTGGAAACCTAAATTTGGCCCTCAAATTTACTCAAATTTTCACAATTATTTTTGTTAAAACCGCCTCCCAATTTAGTTTTTTGATAGCAACTCTTAAAACTTAAACAATAACGTAATTATTTTATTACCTTTTTAATTTGAGAATATTGTGTTAAAAATTTTGACTGGTCGATAAGCAGCTTCGGAAAATTATTTTTGAAGTTTTTGAAGTTTCAAGTTTATGGCAGGAGGAAAGGTTGAATATAGTATTATTTTTGTCTGCGCGCATTTCCAACTGCACTTACCCTAACATCCTAATTTTAAGACTCTTATAACTTTATAAATAGGAGACAACATTTTTAGTACATAATGCTCGATTTAAAAAGTTAATAAAATATATACGTTATCGTTTAAGTTTCAAAAGTTGCTATCAAAAAATCTAAGTTGGGAGGGGGGTAAAAACCAAAAAAAATTGTGAAAAATTAAGATCACATTGTATAAAAACAATATGAAAAATTAAATTTTAATAAAAACCAGTGAGATGTTGACTAGTTCATGATAAATGAACCACGCTGTATGAAGTGATATTCGATTTTAAAAACTAATGTTAAGGAGCGTAACAACAATTATTTAAAATATTTGTATGTAGTGAGTTGTTACGCAGTATTAGTGTATGTATACGTGCTCGTTTATTATTTGTAAGGGGGGTATATTTTTTTTTCTACATAACTTTAGTTTAATTTAAGTCATTACGTTTTGAAACGTTATATATCATTGAATACTTGTTTACACAATAAATGATAAACCTTGATGTTTGAAATCGAGAAAAACGCCCAGTAAATGTAACACCCGTTATGCCATTAAAAAATTCCTCACTGAAGTTTTTCTGATTTTTCAAAAGGTTTTAAATGAATATAAAAATAAAATAGTAAAATGACCGGATATGAAAATATGTATGTGCCCTAAAACTAATTGCAGTATTATGAATACAAATTAAATTAGTTTTTTTTAAACGAAAATTACAATTTTTGTATTACTATTTATTTTTTTTACTTTTATTTTTAATTAAAATAGGTATTGATTATAATTTTTTTTATATTTGGTACATACAATATCTATTTAAGTGTAGTTATCGATCAGTATTTTATTTTAACTTTATTATTATTTGTTGTTAATGGTTATGTACTAATTGCAAGTGTAAACATATAATTTTAAAAAAATCGATTTCAAAAGTTAAATACCTTCAGATATTGTTAAAAGCGTAAGGGTCTGAATTCAATTTACGTATAAGGTTTCCATTTATATTATAAAGCTAATCTTATTTAATTATATATGTTGTTACAGTATTTCCTACCAAAATATTAGGAGCCAGTATTAATGGAAAATATTTTTCGGTTACCTAGTGACCTAGTACTTAGTAATTTCCTTTTTTTCGGGGGAGGTGGGATTTCCTGTTAAGAAAATAAAGTTTGCTCACATGATTTTTTAAAAAAAATTGTATGTTTTAGCCTCCAGTGGCGGCCTGCCAGGGGAGTCTTTAAACCTGAGTTTTTCCTTAAAAATCTTTAGCTATTAATAAATTATATAGAAATTTCAATCTGGACCACAAAGTACATCCGATATATTTTATGTTATTTTTTAAACATTATGGTCACACAATCTATAAATAGTTATTTCTAAGGGTTTATCATGATGTTTTTGGTAAATTCGGTGATCGCCGGTTCAGTGGAACGTTTAATGGAAAGTTTCAATCATAACATGTAATAACATCTTTTGGACTTTTTATTAAAAAAATTAATAAATTTTTTTTTTTTTGGCTCCGATAATTACTTTGCCGTCCATTTGGTTATAATATAATAATATATATTATGTGTAGTCATAAACGTTCTAAGTTTTAACAGTTCTACATAGTGTAAACGTATATATGAGAACACGTAGTTGAACAAATATGAAGCGAAAAAGAAAAGAGGCCTCTTGGCATGAGCATTCAAATCGCAATGCCAAATCATCGATCAGGGTCCGAAAGATTTTTAAGTATAACAATACAAACAAATAAAATTCCGATGTTCAGAGTTTAGTGTAGAATTTGAGACAAAGAATAACTAAAAATGTAATTTATGCGACGAGAGGTTTTTGCGTTATGCACAAATTATACACGAGATACAGATCTGCATTTGGCACAAATTTGTATTTAATATATTTTAATACGTGAGTACTCAAACGATATAGCAGATGAAAAAGATGTATTAAAACACCTGTGTGCACCCATTCCATGATAGTATGACCGATTTGAGAATAAAAATAAACGTTTGGCCAGAATACATAAAAAAGACTATACTATCATCATATATCGCAAGCAGATTATAGTTCGGAAATAATCATATAATTATCAGGATTTATCCATGTATTGATGTATCTGCTTGAAGTGTTTAATATTTTTTGTTTAAATGTAACCACATAAAGTATACCTAGCGGTAGTGTATGTAGGTGAAGTATTAGCACCTAATCTAATATTTATCTTTTACGTTTATGTTCAGTAAAAGACGCAAGCAAATTAAAAAAAAAATACTTTTAAAAACAAACATAAACATTACAAAATATACGAAATCGATGGTTCACTTATACTTTAAACGATTAAGTTTCTATCTAAACTGAAAAAACTATTTTTTTTTACACAGCCTTTGAAGAAGTATACTCATACAATATATTATTGGGTAAGCAAATTTTTTTTTCAATTTCATTACAATATCACCAGAATTAAATTCTATTATATTTTATTGTTTTACGAAAGTAGGGTTATGAATACATTGGTAAGGAATTATTGCAACTAATTATTACAACCGAAGGATTTTGTTTGTTTTTAAATTTAGTAGAATACACATGTGTTCGAACGCCAACACAAAAATACTGAATAACACTAAACACCACCTGACTTAAACATTTTTTTAGTTTAAATTTGATAAATATATACATATTGCATACACACCGTACACATATAGAGTAATCTAACACTGTTAAATAGTTAATCCCCTCACAATTACATGATTGGCTGGTACAGCAGGGCTACCGTATTATTATCCACCAACTAGTAATATATAAACGGTACAATATAAACTTCCAGTTTTAAGTGTTGTAGAAAATCCGAATACCTAAAAAATCGATTGAATATCTAAATATTAATTACAAGCTTTCACGCAAGTATCAAGACCGCATTAGGCGGACCAAATATATAGACTAATAGATGCGTTAAAATATATAACACCATGTGTATATATATATGTATGTATATACATATGTATATATGTATATGTTAATATTTTGAATTAAACATGTTTTAAACAGAATATAGCAATCAATACAATGTTGAAGTATCTGTATACAGTAGCTTTATTTCTAGTAACGATCAAAGCCAACGATGAATTTACAAATGGTACAATACGATATTATATTATGGGTTTTTTTTAACTGAAAACAAGCTGATCGCTACATAACCAAGTAAGGTCAATAAATTCGTATATCTTCACAGAATTAAAATCGTACCGTCTTAAGTAGTCGAAATGTTGTCTAGCTCTTTGGTCTAAAAGTTACAGTGTATAAATACAGATGCAAATAAAAACCTACATCATTACCAATAGCATCTCTGCATCGAAGCTAAAACTGAACCGATAAGGACGTCCAATAGCGAACGGGCCTTTTTTTTTAAATATACATATTCTCCAGAGAATGCGACTGTCTTAAATCCGACGAATCACTCTACGTAGTACACAATATTACATATAAACATAATGTTTAATATATTTTATTTGTTTAAATGATACCACATGAAGTATAGCTGTACTGTGCGCAGGTTAAGTATAGGCACATTCGTTTAGTTTTATTTAAAATATTTGTGATATTACAAATCATATATGAATACAAACGTATTGTTCTATGCATACAGTTTTGTAAAACATTTATGATAAATAAATTCGATATTTATAATATATTAAAATACTACTGAAAAAAAAAATAATAATAATAATAATATATATTAAAACTTATAATTGTAAAACTAATGCCTTTTGTATTTTATATCAGAGTTATTATTTAATTGGCCACTGTGTCTACTATGCTTTGTAATTTATTGCAGATAAAGATGAAATTTGACTATTTTTTAATAGCATTTTATCTTTGTAATCGTTTTGGAAGATGTTGGTAATAAATTCATCTTATACGTATCTAATACATATTTGAGATAATTAAAATAAATAATCCTTATCGTTTTTTTATAGAACTGTACAAGTTTCAGGTTTACATAACAAGTGATTACATTTTTTTTACATACAAAATACTGTTACAAGTTTCAATATTATACGGTTTTTATACATATATTTTAAAATAATTTATTAGAGACTTTTACATCAAACTGGCTAAGCAGCAAGGTATTATGTATACGGATATATAATTGCTTCGTTATTTTTGCTTGATTATCAAATAATTTTTAAATTAAAAACTGGAATTAATCTGCTAGTCTGCTAATCTATATTATAATTATGAATAATCACATACTTGCATAATATTTGGTTATTTATTTTAAGCATGCTTGGACAGAGAGATTCGAGTTGGAAACGTAATATACGCAGTTTTACGTGGTAAATATATATATATATATATATTTATTAAAATCATTATAACTTACAAAATGTCAGTATATAAAAATTTTACATGATTATCTATGTCTTTTAAGCTAAAAGCTTGTGCTAGAAATAGAGACTTATAGAAATTAACTAAAATTTATGTGCATATACAACAAATTAACAACAAAAAAGGAGAAACAAGAATATACAAATAATAAACAATTATAATAAACACCGCAATAGAAGCTAAGATTAAAATATTTTTAACTTTTAGAGAGAACATCCAATTATATACTAATTTTTTTATTATTTTGAGAGAGCTGAATATTTTTTTTATACAGACATGGCATAGAGTTAAAAAACACAGGACCTAGATAGTTTACAAATGATTGACCAAAATATTTGCACGGGTAATCAATAGGTATATTAAACCGTCTATTTTCCCTTTTGTCTACAAGATCTTGACCGTCATGTCCTTTACCGAAGTTTTTAAATGTGGACAGAATGGCAATTTTTTTATTTGGAAGTTTAACAGGTAGGACACCCAATTCTCTATAATTATGTGAGGTAGAACCAGATAAAGAATATTTATTTAGGTAAATTCTAACTATATTATTCTGGTTTGTTAGTAGTTGATTTAAAAAAACAATCTGCCGATCCTCCCCAATGTTGATAACCTCATTGTTAATTATCTCTTCAGAAAAGGAATTATCAAAAGAAATGTTATTACAAGCATTAACAGCTTCATTTTTACGAACATAATCAGCTTTCTCTTCTAATTTTTTTCCTATGTTTGAGACCACCTTTGGCTCGTTGCAAGTATCATATTGTTAGCCGTTGTGAATAATAGTTTTAATGGTACCTTTATTAATATTTTTGGAGCAAGTGATTTCGTTAGTAAGTTGCCAGGTTAATTTCGATTTGTTTGAGATTGCTTTGAATTTATTCGCATAAAATTTCTTTTTAGCCAGTCTTAGAATCTTATCTAGGACTTTTGGTCCTTTACTTCTTTTTAACTACTGTATTTAAAACAGTCGTAGAATGAACATAAACTACTACTATTTGAGTAAAATTGTAGTTTTTGTCGATCATAGTGGAGTGATCATAGTGCCTCAAAACCCAAACTAGTAGATAACCAATTTACCAACTCTATCGATTCCCGATATCGGATTGCCCCAAAAGACATCTCCTCTGATATAACAACCGTATTCGCGGTTTCTAAGTAGATAGCCGATCGTCGGTGGCCGTTGCTAAGCAAACCAACAATCGACCAGGTTTTATTTTTTGTTGAATTTCGCTTTTTGAAGATTATTTTCTAAAAGCAACGAATAGCAATGAACTTGATTTTCACAAAATGCGTCTTCCTGTGGAAAACTCTTGACCGGCGAAGCTCCCTCCACCGTCAGTTGTTTCCAGACGTTAGCTGAACTCAAAAAATTGAAAATTACAATTGAGAACGCGATATATTCGCCAAAAAAACAAAAGTCCTAAGGAGCAAATATACTCACAACTAGTGTCGAATAGCTAAAAACGCCTACATAAATACCAATAGAATCTCTGCTTTGATGCTAAAAATAAACCGATAAGGACGTTCAATAGGGAATGGAAAATCTTTTTAATATTAATATATTCCCGAGAATGCGAGAGTCTTAAATAAGATGAATCACGCTGTATAGTACACAGTTATAAATATGAAACATAGTGTTTAATTTTTTTTTGTTTAAATGTGACCACATAAAGTATAGCGGTAGTGTATGTAGGTGAAGTATTAGCACCTAATCTAACATTTATCTTTTAAATTTATGTTCATTAAAAGACGCAACCAGAAACGAACATTAACAGTACCAAATTTACGAAATTGATAGTTCATTTATACTTTTAACGATTAAGTTTCTATTTAAACCGAAAAAACTATTTATTTTTACATAGCTTTTGAAGAAGTACAATATATTATTGGGTAAGAAAATTTTTTTTTCAATTTTATTACAATATTACCAGAATTAAATTCTATTACATAAGTAGGGTAAAGAACCCATTGGTAAAGAATTAATGTAACTAATTATTACAACCGAAGGGTTTTATTTGTTTTTAAATTTAGTAGAATTCACAGTAAAAATTAAAACTTATTCCTAAAACAATTATTAATTTAAGGTAATATTTGTGTTTTACGTACTCCTCGAAAATGTTGTTAATAAATATGAAGATGTAAAACTTTTAAATTTCCTTTACGATAATTATTTCGATTCAAAAAGCATATTTTGGCTTCGTCCAAATTGAGTCTATTTCCAAAATCTTCACGAATTTTAATATTTAATTTTAAAAATGTTTAAAATTACTAAATAATTAAATAATATTGAATCATATTTTTGACTATGTCTAAATTACTAGTATTAAATATATTGTAAATAAGCATATTTTTACATTTAAAGTTTAGAATCGTTTTTATCGATACCGAAGAGTTTTGTTTGTTTTTAAATTAAATAATACCACATGAAGTATAGCTGTACTGTGCGTAGGTTAAGTATAAGCACCTAACCTAACGTTTTATATTTTACGTTTATATTTAATAAACACTCTCTAAAGACACTCTTGGATAGTGTAACACAAAACATTTAATGAATAAGGTTAATTAGGAAAAAGGGTGTTATGTTTAGGTTTATTTGGTTAAGTAGATGGAAGGTTTTGTGATGTGATGTTTTTTGGTGGTTACGTTAAGGTGTTCAAAATACATTTAATAATTAAAAACCATTTTATTTGTGTTATAAATTTGTTTACACATGTTAACACAAGGAGTTCAAGTTTAAAAAAAGAATAAAAATAATCGTTGACAAAAATATTGGTTTTATCAGTTATGCAACTGATAAAGACCAAGTAAATTTGACAACTGAGTGGATATCAGAAATAGTCGTCGAATCGAACACAATCCGACTGATCAAAAGGCCTTGTAGGGACAGTTTTCTGACTGAATATTAAAAAAATACTTGACGGACTATGAAGTCAAGTAGCTGTTGTGGTCGGATGACAGTCTTTTTATAAGTGTCTCTCGGAAATCGTTCTGTTCACTTGTTGGTGTAAGAAGGGGGGAAAGATCAGTCATAGTGAATGGGATTTTGTGGCTTACTCAATGCATATGCGTTTAGTTTTCTTTAAAATATTTGTGATATTACAAATTATATATGAATACAAACGTATTGTTCTATGCATACAGTTTTGTAAAACACTTATGATAAACAAATTCGATATTTATAATATATTAAAATACTACTAAAAAAAAAAAAATAATAATAATAATATAAATTAAAACTTATAATTGTAAGACTAATGCCTTCTGTGTTCTATATCAGAGTTATTATTTAATTGGCCACTGTGTCTAATATGCTTCTAATTTATTGCAGTTAAATATGAAATTTGACTATTTTTTAATAGCATTTATCTTTGTAATCGGTTTAGAAGATGTTGGTAATAATTTCATCTTATACGTACCTAATACATATTTGAGATAGTGAAAATAAATAATCCTTATCGTTTTTTTATAGAACTGTACAAGTTTCAGGTTTACATAACAAGTGATTACATTTTTTTTACATACAAAATACTGTTACAAGTTTCAATATTATACATATATTTTAAAATAATTTATTACAGACTTATACATCAAACAGGCTAAGGAGCAAGGTATTATGTATACTGATATTTAATTGCTTCGTTTTTTTATCTTGATTATCAAATAATTTTTAAATTTAAAACTGGAATTAATCTGCTCAGCTAAGAATGCATGAAATATGTGTAGATAGTATCAATATTCCAAATATTATGTAAAAAATTAACAAAACAGATTTCATAACTTACATACCGTGACCGTGACTATTTACCTCAATAGGGAGAGTAGCGTTCAGTTAAATGGTCTATCCTGAAACATAATGTACTCTTATACTAAGGGTTTATCTACATAAGAAAATATTATTTAATATTTTACAATAGCTAATACCATTATTCATTGATTCTAGGTATATTTTATGCCGTAGTTCAACGTTATATTCAAAGTCTAAACACATCGATGGGTAGTTATAACAAAATAATATAGCAAAAAATTAAAATAAGTTATAGTAATATTTAAAAGTGATCTAATTGTAAAAGTAAATTACAGCAACAGATTATTTTTTTGGTAATTTTTCTGTGTTTAAAATCATACATTTTATTTCATGCTTTTCTTTAACTCACTAACACGTACGTACGTAGGTGCGTTTGTAACCTTTAATAGGACTAAAAAGTAAAAAAATAAATTTAAAAAAACTTTTTTAAAAACATGCTTTTCTAAAAAAAAAAAAAAATAGTAAAAGTGAACTAAAAAGAAAAAATAATTTTATTACAAAAACAATTTACCAATTAACTGTAGCATATTTTATTTTTAAATGTCAGTTACTTTAAAAACAACCGAAAATTAACTACAGTTTAAAATAATTTTAAACATATTTAATTTTTGACTAAAAAGAAAAGCGTGGGCCTTATTCAACAAAGTCCCTAATCAATTTATCAAATAATGTTTTATATTGTTAGTTCTTTTGTAATTTAAATTTAGTTTAATATTTGTGTGTGACACATACATTTCATAATACTTAACTCATTAAATTTGGACTTTGTTGAATAGGGCCCACGCTTTTCTTTTTAGTCAAAAATTAAAGATGTTAACCCTTATTTAAAATTTTAATTAATTTTCGGTTGTTTTCAAAGTAATTGTCATTTTAAATAAAATAATAGGTAAAATGTTCTTGTAATAAAATTATTTTTTAATTTTTTGTTCACTTTTTACTATTTTTTTTTTTAGAAAAGCATGTTTTTAAAAATAGAATTGGAATCTTTCAATGTAATTTTTAATACACATGTATAATCTTACCCTGTCTACTAATTTCTAATAGAATAGAAAACTACATTCGATATAGTTTTTAATAGACCAATTATTTTATTTTCAGAAGAACTGTCCCTTATATTTGCTGTACCAGGTAAAATTATTTCCTACCTTATAGAGACGAATTTCACAATTATTTCTCATTCATTACATATAAAATGTTTTCTTTTTAATTTCAGATAAAGCAAACTACCGTCGTCACCCACAGTGTAATTTCCTTTAAATACTTCATTATATAATACTTTACACAGACCCATGTTTGAATCATATAATATTATTATATTATCTGTCAAAATGAGTCCAAATCAATATCTTTGAATATATTATACATCTGTACTTTATTCATATTTTATTTATAAATAAGTTATAATATATACATACATAATAAATATTCATATACTTGCATAATATTTGGATATTTATTTTAAGTATGCGTGGACAGAGAGATTCGAGTTGGAAACTTAATATACGCAGTATTAGGTGGTAAGTATAAAATTAACATTTATATACGAATAAAAGAATATTTTATATTTTTTCGATATTAATAATTACTTAGCTACCAAAAAAAAAGTATAATTAAAATTGCATTTAAGTCCAAAGTTATTAACGCGGCTTCTAATGTTTTTTTAAGTTGTACAATACTTGCCTACATTTCTTAAATAAATCTAAACAATCTCATTTTTAAATTAACTATTATAAAGAATATTTTTTTTATTGACTGTATTATTATTATATATTTTCTTATAGACTTTAACCTACTTCGAAATACGAATCTAAGTATAGAACAAATTCTAGAACTAGTTCATGATGTATCTAATGTATTCCCTAATGCAGATGAAGGTAATTATAAATTTATTCGATAATTGTAAATTGTTTTAAGGGTAGGATTAGTTAACGAATGTGTATAGGTTATCGATGTATTTCAATTGATTTCTCGAAATTTGTTTCAATCTCTATCATTTAAGAATAAATAGGGACACTTTTGTCCATAGTTTTTTATGTGAACACATTATAACTTTGCTGAAGAAGGTATGACTTATAGTCGAAATTTTAGTGCGACATCTATTTCCGTTTCACGTTGCTGTTTCAATTATTGTCTAAAAAACAATAGATTTTTATTTGTACTTTGATTACATTATGTTAATTTTATCAAATTTGCGACAATATTTATAGGTACTGCTCAATTCCTTACTATAACAAAATGTACTATAGACATTGGAACTGTTTTAATCGAAAATATAATAAAAACAATTTTTTTTTTTAAATAGCTTTTGTCTACTGATTTATTCATGAAAATCAACTTGGAAATTTAATAAGCCCAACGTTTAAGAACTCTGCTTTTTTAAGTTTTCAAATATTTTTTAGGAATTTTTGTATATTATAGCCCCCACTGGCCCCACCATCACTATAGTTTTTTGACTAAGTGTCCCAAGTTATGCTTTTACATTAGTTCTTTGGATCTCAAGTATATAAAGATTACTTTCTTCTAGTTGCAGGGCTAATGGCAGATAATAGAACAAATTTAAATAATTCTTAGAAGTGTAATTACATTAAGAGGACCAAATTTGTTTGTAATTTAGTGTTTGTTATTGAAACTGTAATTTCTAATTTTTTACAGAACAAACTGAATATTCATTGTCAGAACTTGGATTTGCCAGAAGACAAGAAACTAGAAATACTATACGTTCTTCAATTATAACTTTTAGTAAGTAATTGATTAAAAAAACATTTTAGTAATCATATATGTTCAGTTACTTTTTATAACTAATCTTAAAGCCATATAAAAATGTCAGTAGAATCATACTGGAAGATACTGGATACATATTGGAATTATGTGTTCTTATTTATAACAGCAAGACAATAATTTAGTATTTTTTTATAATAATACAAGTACCAGCATCCAATGGTGACATTATTTTTAGACTTTACTTTGAAATTAGTCTTTTAACTTTAATTGCCAAGGTATAAACACTATTGCGCTCTACGGTTTCTAATAGAATTAACAAATAAATATTTGTATAGAGTGTAATTTATTAAACTATAAATTATATTATATTTATTAAACATTTTTTTTTAATATATAAATATTGTAATATTTTTATTTTTTAAGGTGGCCCGACAGAAACAGTTAGTATTTTTATGTGTCGTAGAATAGGACTGATCAGAAGTATACTACACCCGGATTCATTTATAACAAATGCGGTGATGGAGGAGAACGACACATGTGTTCTAACTACAACTACAGACCCCGACAGTGTTTGGAAATACAGATATGTTGGCGGCGAAATTTGTCAAGTTGATATCAATGATGTCACCCGGTCAATAGAACCACTTGCTAATCAGATGGTGTGGTAATATAGATCACAAAGATCCTAGTTATATCGTACACAAAATTATATACTACATTTTAATACTTTTTAGAACTACATAATACTTGAAATACCACATTTACATACAAAACTTTAAATAAATTAAATATTCTTTACAATAAACAGTTTTATCACGGTTTTAAATACACTTGTTGTTTATGTATTGATTTCTATCGATATGAATTCCAAGTGCACTTTCGATTTGATAAGTTTTTGAAAATGATTTTCTTAATTTGACTTAATTTTAAATTCTGATCATCAGCAATCCTTTCCATCATTCACGAATTGTCATTTCTTTGACATTATTTATTCCTTGCAAACATTTTTCCGAATAAATTACAAACAAAATTATTTTATCGTCATCACGTAGCTTTACGGGTCTCGAATGTCCAACGCTACCTGTATAATTAAATATAAGATTCATTACAGACAATAAATGAAACGTCAATAGAAATAATTGTCACACAAAATTGTCCAGTTAGAGATAGGTCGTATAGTTTTAGGCAGAGATCTAAAAAAATATTCATTATTCTTAATTTTAGTTCAAATAGATTGTTTTTATGTTTAATTCCAGAAATCATTCGAAAAAATATTCGTTTTTTGTATAATGGGGAAATTAAACTCTGTTCGTAGCCAACTACTGGGTTGCTTTGTGTAATTAAATAAAAAGTCAACAGGTACTTAAAAAACATTTTTAATATACCTATGTTAGTTAAGATATATTATGGCTATTAACTAGTTATGGAAATAAATGATTAAGTAATTAAAGGACTTGTTCAAGTTTTTTTCTTGTTAAATATTTGGTTATTGGTTTCTTTTTTTGGATATAATGGTATGATTCATTAATACATTTTTTGTTATGCAATTTACGTGCTTGGTTTAAAAGGTGTAGGCGTTTTACACAAAGGTGTTTTTTATTGGAATAATTATTATAGAAATATTATTACCTCCGAACTAACTAAGTAACTATACCTCCGAATACGTATATTAGTTTTAATGACCTTGGTTTTTAGCATCAATATGAAACGATAATGTGGTGTATTATAAACAATGTTGTTGGATTTCAGTTATTCAGTAAAAATCATTATTTAATTAAAAAAACTACGCTTGTGTTCTAGTTAGTTATATTAGTTTTATTTAGAGTATGATGTACATAATAACATCCGCCGTATTCCAATAAGTATAGATTTGTTTTGAGTTTTTGAGACGCTTGTAAGTCGATTAACGTTAAATCATAATGTTATAATAATTTAATCAATAATCAGCAAAGTAATCATATGATATGATTATAATAATTATAGTTACTATAATATTATTATATTAACTCAATTGTAGCCATGGTTGGTGTTCACATTTTAACATGTATATGTTTCATCGCTGGGCGTCAGGTACTAAAATGTTTCGTCCGAAACCTAACGCTGGATGTCACACTCGGTGGCTGCGGAGGAAGGAGGGGGGGATGAGAGATAAGATATAAGATATTAGAGATAAGAGATTAAAAATCCTAGTTAGAAATAAAATAGAGATAATGTAAAGCTGTTGTAAAGGGATGAGAGGGGATGGGGATGGGCTTGAGGTCGGCAGCTTGCGTACGAGTCCGCAACCACTTGAGACATGTGTGAAATATATTCTATAAAGATGTAAGGATTTATAAGGATATATAAAGATAGTCGACCAAACTAATTTTAATTTCATTTGTTTGCCGTATATGTCTGCTACGGTGTTTCTCGTTCCGACCATTTAACTTAAATGAATGGTTAAATTGATTCAAAATAACTAACCAAGTGAATGTTGTCAATAAATCAGCTAAGGCCAATTATTAAAAAACTACTAAAAAAAACTTTTGGCGAAAAGAAAATATTTTTAAATCAGAATATTAGAAACGTAGGTATACTAAAATTGACATTTACTCGGCCATAAGATATGTGCCTATGTATTCGCTTGTAGAGTGGAAACTTTTAGGTTAACTCATAAAATTACTGGTTATGACATAGGTTAGCGAAGCTAAAGCAGGGCAAATGACTCAATAAAAAAAAAACAGTTCAACGTTTAAGAATAAAATGGAATAAAGGCACCCGTGAACCTACTGACACTGAATGATTTGTTAATTCCAGCAGAGTACTGCTGGACATCTTAAGATGGCAAAGGTTTTTTAATTCATGATTGTTTTGATATAGATCGTTATAAACCAAGAATTATAATATATTCAACTGAAGATAACTTAAATTTAATGGCTAATTGTGACCATTGATATGTCAATGGAACTTTTTCAAGCTGTTCAAAATTATTTTAACAACTCTAAACTATTCGTGACAAACAATACAGCAATGTTTTACTTTCTATAAACCCTCGTCTCCCAAACAAATGTGTCGTAGATCCATTTATTACATCACGAATATCCGGTTAAAAAAACTAGTTTGGGGCTCATAAAAAAAATGTTTCAGCCATTAGCTAGACGCTGGAGTGTTTTCCTACATTTTGATTTTGAACTCTATTATATACATATGAATATAAAATCGTCTAGGAGAATGATCTATTTGATTTTTAATCAAAAAGCATGCCATATTTTAATTGCATGTATCTTATCAAAAATGGTATCGGCGCAATATGAATATTCTACACCATAGTGAACAATTTTGTAGATTGTAGCCTGTTATATATAATGTTGTCATATGAAAAATGTATTATCCTTGTGTGTGTTACACGAAGTCAGAAATAAGGATATAAGGATGGTCAAATTAATTTGTTAGGTAGGCCCTTACTTACTGGCGAACTACGGAAATTGATATATGAGAAATATTAAATAATAATAATCGTTGCCAGTAAATTGATTAAAGCCAGACATTTTAAAACTACTAATAAAAACGTTTGGCCAGAATACATAATTAAGACTATACTATCATCATATATCGCAAGGAGATTATAGAACGGAAATAATCATATAATTATCAGGACTTATCCATGTATTGATGTATCTGCGTGAAGGGTAGATATTCTTTAAGTTTTTTTTTTTGTATATAAAACAGTCTTAGAATGAACATAAACTACTACTATTTGAGAAATATTGTAGTTTTCGTCGATAAATCGGGCTTAGAGTAATCCTAGGGACCCAAAACGTTTTATATTTTACGGACGCACGCAAATTTTCAAAAAATACTTTCAAAAGCAAACACTGACAATACAAATAGAAAATCGATGGCTCATTTTTTACGTTGGACGCTTAAGTTCCTATTAAAACCGATAAAACCATTTAGTTTTACACAGATTTTTAAGAAGAACACTCGTATAATATATTACCAAGTAAGCATATTTTTACACTTTCAATACAATGTCGCTAAAGTTAAATTCTTTCATACTTTATTGTTTGACGAACTAACCAATCCGTTAGTAAGTTATCATTACAACTTATCCTAAACACCACTTTTATATTTTATCCCACCAACTTTCTTTGGTTTAGCTTTATGTTTCTATTACCGATGGTGCTAAACTCTTACCGAGTAAAAAAATTAATTAAAAACTTAAAACGAGTTTTAATTATTTAAAAAAAAAATTTACGAATAAAAATGTTTTCATTATTCACTTTTCTTCAACAAAATAAAAAAATAACCATACATTCAGAGAAATAAATACATCATAACAATTCGTTTAAAATAATCATAATTATTTTGTTCATACTGGAGAATCACATCAAGAAACAACAATAATAATGAATTATATATTGTACTAAATCCGCCCACACATGTAATAATTTTGTCCATAACACCCAATTATTTATCAATACTGTCGTGGTCTTCGAACAGCCACATTGCCGCAGTAGAAATTCTAAAACACTACAGCCAGACGCAGTGTTAAAAATAAATGTTTTTTTAAAGTTATCGTTGTGGTATGGTTTTCAGCCAGCCACAGCCGTAGCGAAATTTGTAACTCTGTCGTGACCTATGAACATGTCACATCGCCGCAGAGATGAACCGACAATTTTTCAAATATTGTAGTGGTCAGGCCTTACCACAACAATACAATTTCTATGTCCTTTAATCGTCGCAGCCCTTGAAACAGCTGCATTGCCGCGATTCGTTTGTCAAATAAGTACCCAAAAGTCATCAAAATCGATTTCTCATTGCAAAATCTCTCATTATATAGGCAGTACTTACAATTCATTACAAAAAAAAAAAACAGTTTTGGCGTTGCCATTGTGAAGCTCCACTAAGAATTCTTCGAGAAACATTAACACTGATACTGTTTTTAGACAATATTTTTCTTTCATCACGAATAAAAACACTTTTGGCTCAGCCATTGCGAAGCTCCACAAAACATTACTTATTAAAAATTACAACTTATAAAAAATTATTATTTCAAGGTTATATTAATTGTCTTTTACGTATCTCCTCAAAAATGATCTCGATAAATAATTAGACAAATTTTTTTAAAAATCCCTTTGCCTTACAAACCTCTTAAAATATCCAAATTTTTCACAAACTTAAATACTTAATAGCTATATAAGTTCAGAAAATATTTTAGCGATGCCCGAATCAAATCTATGTCCAAACTTTTTAATTTATTTATAATTAATTTAAGTAGCCGTTACGAAGAACCTGAATATCTAAACAGAATTGAAATGAGACCATTCTATGTAGTCGATATTTTTTGATAAACCAAATAAACCAAAATGGTATTTACTCATATAAATCATACTTTGAAGCTTATACAAATTATTTGGTAATGTAATAGGGACAGTCAAAATTAATTAAAACCTCTTTTTTCAAAAATATTGCCTATATAAAACCTAACCGCATGCAACCTAATCCCCTTAAAGCACAGAGTTACAGGGTATTTGAACGGTGTCTACCTTCCTGTTTATCCTTTTTTCCAAAAAAACGCTATTTAAGCTACTAAACTATAAAAATGTTAAATAGTTTTACAATATAAAGCTAGGTAAAATTTGTTTGTTAAATATGTAAAAATATAACAAAATACCAAAAAGATAAAATTATTTTAGATTTCGGATTTGTTGAAATCCGAAAGCATTATATAGGCAAAGTTAAAAGTTTTTTTTAAACATTTTTATCAACACATTTTACTCAGGTACACATCTTTATATTGTAATAGTATTTAATATTTAAGTTTAATATCAATAAGTTTTTCAAGAGGCTTAAATAGCGTTTTTTTTTAATTTTTGGATTCCCATTACTAATATATATTTGTACAGAGTGGCCCACAATGATTTGACAAACGAAATAACTTTTGTTCTAGTGAATATTTTTGATATATATTTTTTTTTAATGATTTATACTCATTTGCGCTAAAAAAATAATTTATAGTTTATTCTTGTTTGCGCTATAAGCACCGCGGTTTTTATTTCACTTACCTGATTTACTTTTTTAATTATTTTTTTATTACATTTATTTTTTTTTTTTCAAGATTTTTTACCGAGTCAAGTTTTCTTGAAAAAAATTTAAAAATGCAATAAAAAAATTAAAAAAAAGTAAAACAGGTAAGTGCAATAAAAACCACGGTGCTTATGGCGCAAACGAGGATAAACTATAAATTATTTTGAAAAACAAAATCTCAAAAATATTCACTAGAACAAAAGTTATTACATTTGTCAAATCATTGTGGGCTACCCTGTAAATATTTTGAATATAAAATGTTTTACACAGAATAAAGAAATCGATACAAT